TGCACAGTCATTACAAAATTAAAATTTAAATGCCGTTCCGCACGAACTATCCCGCCAAAATTTCCCACCGAGGATAGATTGTTAATGGAAGGTCCAAAATTCGGGGTTTTTTGCCACATCACCACAAGGCTGGGCCAGGAACCAGCCTGATCACCTGCCACAGTCCAGCCCAGGCCGGAACGGTCTAGGGGGGGTCATCTGGCAGAACCGGATGCCCCCCAAAAAAGCCGATTTGTGACATACGACTGCGCTCGCTGAGATCTGTCGGATTCCGCATTAAAACTTGCAAAGTTGGGATTTTGTTTTTGTTTTTTTTTGGGGGGGGGACCTATGGTACCAGTTCATATTTGGTTACCTGAAGCTCATGTAGAAGCACCCACCACTGGATCTGTTATCTTAGCGAGAATTCTCTTAAAATTAGAGAGGGGGGGGACGGGTTTTTATGGCGCAGGATGTGTTTCTTGGGTGTGCAGGCCCTCAACCAGCAGCATACATACCTGATGGAAGACGAGGGAGACGACAGTACGAGGTGGACGAATGCAAAGAAGGAAGGGTAAAGAAGAAGAAGAAGAAGAAGAAGAAGAGGGGGAGGAGGAGGAGGAAGAGGAGGAGGAGACCGCACTGTAGAAGGGGGAGTAGGACTCTCTCTCTCTCTCTCTCTCTCTCTCTCTCTCTCTCTCTCTCTCTCTCTCTCTCTCTTTCTCTCTCTCTCTCTACGGTCGAAGAACCCAACGGAAGAAGAAGAAGAATGATGACAAGGCTGTGGCTATGGCTCAGCGGGGGCAACACAGAGGAGTATGGCTCAGCGGGGGCAACACAGAGGGGGAGGAGGAGGAGACCGCGAGTAGAAGGGGGAGTAGGAGTCTCTCTCCCCCCCCCCCGCTCCCCCCCTCTCTCTCTCTCCAGTCCAAGAACCCGACGAAAGATGAAGAAGAAGTGGTAGAAGAAGTGGTAGAAGAAGAAGAAGAAGAAGAATAAGAAGAAGAAGAAGAAGAAGAAGAAGAGGACGATGAGGAGGAGGAGACGACACTGTAGAAGGGGGTGTAGAGCACTCTCTCTCTCTCTCTCTCTCTCTCTCTCTCTCTCTCTCTCTCTCTCTCTCTCTCTCTCTCTCTCTCTCTCTACACTATTTTCTTCACTGCCTCCCCCCCGATCACCCCCCCACCCCCCACCCCCCGTCGAAGAACCCAACGGAAAAGAAGAAACAAGAAGACCAAGAAAAAGAAACAAGAAAAAGAAAGAAGGAGAACAGGAAGAACAAGAAAAAGAAACAAGATGAAGAAGCAAAAGAAGAAGAAGAGGAAGAAGAAGATGAAGAAGACGAAACAAAAAGAAAACTTAAACTTACCGGTGTGGGTATGATGGTCATGGGGGGCGCCTGAAGCGTGGCATAGCTATCATGGTGACAACGTCGAGGGCAGGCTCGTGCAGGGGCAATGACAGGCTGGCCAGGGCACTTGCATACCCCCTTCGGCTGACGTAGGTAAGCTATTACAGACACTGGCTGCACACAGACTGTAGATCGGTAGGTTAACACTGGTCACTCATAAGCATTCACGAATAAACATTGTGTGGATGCAGACTAGAGTTGTGGGCGGTTGATCACATGGTATTTGTTATCTTAGGGCTCAGCTTTGAGGGGGGGATGGGTTCTAGGTGGGATTGATCGGGGACTCCGCTGGGGGAAGGGTTGGTTGGACACTATCGCTACTGGAGGGTTGGGGCCCCTTTGGTAGTGGATGTCTTAGGAGTCCTCTGGGTTGACGTGGAGCTGGGATAGGCCCTGGTGGAGGATATCGTTGGGGAACCTGGATTAGAGGCTGTCTTAGGGGTTGAGGGTTGGTCGGTTACCTGCATGGAGAATACTGTCAGACTAGGATAGCCCAGAGTAGCTCCCGTTGATGATAGAGGTTGGGGGAGCGGATGGTGGCCGTGAACCTGCTGAGGACGGAAACTGGAGGTACTCTGGGGGATGCTAAAAGAATGCCGACATCCAGTTGATGATAGAGGTATGGGGAGCGGATGGTGGGCGTAAGCCTAGTGAGGACGAAAACTGGAGATTTCCTTTGGTTCAAATAACCTCCGCAAGAATGCAAAGAATAACCAGAGGGATCTGATGATGATAAGGCTATGATCTCTCTAAAAAAACAGGAAAAACTACAGTAGGGTTCGTCTATGGGACTGGTAGTGGAATGCTTACCCCGAGCGCTCAAAGTGCCCGGTACGGCGTGGCTCATTCGATAGTGCTTCGATCACGGCTGGGGAGGGAGGTGAGAATCTGCTTAGCCCCGATGCCTATAACCGCTGTCTGGTCAAAAGATCACAAGAATGGGTGATGATCCACTAGAATGGGTATATTCAGGTAGGACCTTGGGAGTAAGGATGTGCCGGGGATCGTGATGACGAGTAAGGGTGGGAGGGTGTCTCATAGGGGACCGGTTAGGCAATACATCGTGACGATCAAATGGTCAGGTGCTGACAGGTCTGTCATATGCCTAGTAGGCAGCCTCTACAACAACGTGGACTTAACTGTTGTCAGTCTCGCCCCCTCCCTCTTCTGTTCGTCGATCTTTTTTGTTTTTTGTTGTTGAGAGAGACAGAGAAATTTGAGAGCGCGCGCACACGCGAGAGAGAGAGAGAGAGTTCCAGCTGGGTCTACTAGGTCAGGTGATATGAGCATACTCCCCTAGTAGGGCCTTCTGCTGGCTGCTCCATCTATTGGTGGGGAGCTTCACCTGCTGGAAAATCGGTCCAGCGTCGCAGTTGAACAGGATTGGAACATTGTCTGAACTCCATACAGCTGAGACTGAGACCGATTTAGTATCTGAGATTGTCTTTCTGTGGATGTTGCCAACTTGCCAGTGCCTCTTCACCCTGTTGCTGGGCAGCGGATCGGTTCTGCCCATTCCTGGTACTGTGGATTCTACAGTGTAGACTGAAACCTTGTCCATCTCTTGGGCTGCGCATTACCCTGCATTCTACCCCTAAACCCTAAACCCTGATCGGTCAAGTGTCCATCTGTTTCTTGCCACCCTGGTGTACGAACCGTCGACCCCCCACCTTGATACCTTTTCCCATTTTTGATTGGGGTCTCTTCTTTAACACTTTAAACCCTGAGTTGGCCTAATAATAGCCCGAACTTTACATCGCTCTTGGTCTGACCTCCAAGACTCCTTAAACCCTGAGTTGGCCTGTTCCCCAGACTTTCGCAGCCCTATTGGTCACAACACCCTTCATATTCCTTATTGACCCAGACTTTTGTGTCCCTCTTGGTCCTGCGATCTTTTCCTATTCACTCTTGCTGTCCTGACCTTATTCCTCTTGGTCCTGATATCTTTTCCTATTCGCCCTTGCTGTATCCGAGGCTGCTTTGTTCTAACAAACTCATGGGTGGGGGAGGGGAAGGATCAGGGGGGGATCTGCGAGTGGGCGCAGCGGGAATGATGGATCCAGTGTGGTCCGTGGATCTTATTCGAGGTTTTTTTTTTTTTTTTTTTTTTCCGATTGAAAATACATAGCAATATTCTTGGAAACACCATTCTCACGCACCCAATCCCGCCAACATTTTTTTTTTTTTTTTTTTTTCGCCAACATTGTTATACAACAGGTGTGGATATATGGCAACCCTAGAGATAGAAGTTTGGGGCCGGCAAGGAAGAGACCGAAGGAGGACCCACTGGTGCCCCCCACTGGTGCACCCAATCCCGCCAAACGCATCTGTCCATCCCCCTTACCTCTGTCACCAAGAGTCCAGAGACTTGGGGCATATACTCAAACAAGGATTTTTTTGACTGAGCTCTGGACATGATTGCAGCCAGATGCAGCCAGGTGCGGCCGTAATTGAGGCTAGATATATCAAGGAAGGTGCTAGTGTGCGCACGCCCTGAGTCCAAGTGGTAGCGTGCCTTCAAGAATACGAATGGCCTCAAACCTGAGCTGGCCTGCATTGTGCTTTTTTTCCCCCCATAAAAAGCCCATGTTGTTGTAGAGGCTGGATTCTAGACGTATGAGCTCTTTTGACAACTATCCAGCAAAAAAAAAAAAAAAAAAAAAAAAAGAAGCCAGATAAGAACAGGTTGGACAGCATACAAAGGGC